CACGTTGGTTTCGCAAGTTGCGCCCAAGTGGGGCCCTCTTGGCAAGCCCCAGGGAGCCACAAAGGCCTACTTGGGCAGCCAACCTGGGCTCTTTTCAAGAGACCTAGCCCAAATTGGACTCTGAAAGGGGGCCGGACCGAACGCCGACGTGTGTCCCACCTGGGCGGTCTACGAAGGTTCCACGTTGGCTTTGCAAGTTGCGCCGAAGTGGGCCCTCTTGGCAAGCCCCAGGGGACCCACAAAGGGCCTACTTGGGCAGCCTACCCGGGCCCCCTTCCAAGGGACCTAGCACAAATTGGACTCTAAAAAGGGGGCCGGACCGAACGCCGACGTGTGTCACCTGGGCAGTCTATGGGGGTCCCACGTTGGTTTTGCAAATTGCGCCCAAGTGGGGCCCTCTTGGCAAGCCCCAGGGGACCCACAAAGGGCCTACTTGGGCAGCCCACCTGGCCTCCTTTCAAAGGACCTAGCACAAATTGGACTCTGAAAGGGGGCCGGACCGAACGCCGACGTGTGTCCCACCTGGGCAGTTTACGAATGTCCCACGTTGGTTTCGCAAGTTGCGCCCAAGTGGGGCCCTCTTGGCAAGCCCCAGGGGACCGACAAAGGGCCTACTTAGGCAGCCCACCCGGGCCCCCTTCCAAGGGACCTAGCACAAATTGGACTGTGAAAAGGGGGCCGGACCGAACGCCGACGTGTGTCACCTGGGCAGTCTATGGGGGTCCCACGTTGGTTTTGCAAATTGCGCCCAAGTGGGGCCCTCTTGGCAAGCCCCAGGGGACCCACAAAGGGCCTACTTGGGCAGCCCACCCGGCCTCCTTTCAAAGGACCTAGCACAAATTGGACTCTGAAAGGGGGCCGGACCGAACGCCGACGTGTGTCCCACCTGGGCAGTTTACGAAGGTCCCCTCTTGGCAAGCCCCAGGGGACCCACAAAGGGCCTACTTGGGCAGCCCACCCGGGCCCCCTTCCAAGGGACCTAGCACAAATTGGACTCTGAAAAGGGGGCCAGACCGAACGCCGACTTGTGTCACCTGGGGAGCCTATGGGGGTCGAACGTTGGTTTTGCAAGTTGCGCCCAAGTGTGGCCCTCTTGGCAAGCCCCAGGGGACCTACAAAGGGCCTACTCGGGCAGCCCACATAGACTCTCCACGTGGGGCCCAAAGGGGTTCTCGGAGGCAGCCCATGTGAGGTCGCCCGAGGAAGCTCATTTTGCTCGGGGTCGCTTCTTATTTTCCATACGGTGTGATGTACTGCAGTGCATATCAAATTGCGCATGCCCCATTTTCCCCGTGGGCCCTACTAGAAATATTGCCATTTTCATAGATCAATAAAATGCCGTACTAAATTGGGCATTTCAAGTTAATAAAAGGGAACAAAAAATGTGCAAATTTCCATATCAAATCTTGTTGAACAGGTAATCGGCGTGCCTAAGCAGCTTGAACCGGCTACAGACACCCAAATTAAAAAAAATACTGCATCCTAACGAACGTGTTTTGAATTAACCCACAAATTCAATACTCTGCGCAAAAAATTCCACCCTTTGTAAAGCGGTCTTCTCAACATACACGATGAGTAGTACGTTAGTAATGAAGTTTAGCAAGCCTACAGCAAGCCCACGGGGGTTTTTACTTGGGCAGCCCAACTCGGACACGCCCACGCTTAACCGCCATTTCGTCCACATCATTGCCTTTGACCCCTGTAGAGTCGAGGGGGTACCACGGGTGTTTTACATCGGCAGCCAAAGTTTGCCATGCCTACGCTTTGCAGTCATAGAGCCCCATCTTTGTAAACTTGGCCCCCGCAGAGCCAAGGTCGGACCCACGGGGTTTTTTACATGGGCAGCCCAACTCGGCAACGCCCACGCTTAACCGCCATTTAGTCCACATCATTGCTTTTGGCCCCTGCAGAGCCGAGGGGGTCCCACGGGGGTGTTATATGGGAAGCCAAAGTTTGACTTGCCTACGCTTTGTCGTCATGGAGCCCCCATCTTCCTAAACTTGACCTTCGCAGAGTAAAGGTGGGACCCACGGGGTTCTTAACATGGGCAGCCCAACTCGGGCACGCACAGGCTTAACCGCCATTTAGTGCACATCATTGCCATTAGCCCCTGTAGAGTCGAGGGGTCCCACGGGGGTTTTATATGGGCAGTCAAAGTTTGACATGCCTATGCTTTGCCGTCATGGAGCCCCCGTCTTCGGAAACTTGACCTTCGCAGAGCCAAGGTGGGACCCACGGGGGTTTTCACATGGGCAGCCCAACTCGGGCACGCCCACGCTTAACCGCCATTTAGTGGAAATCATTATCTTTTGCCCCCGTAGAGTCGAGGGGGGCCCCGCGGGGGTTTTATATGGGCAGCCAAAGTTTGACATGTCTACGCTTTGCCCCCATGAAGCCCCCATCTTCGTAAACTTGACCTTCGCAGAGTCAACGTGGGACCCACGGGGGTTTTCACATGGGCAGCCCAACCCGGGCACGCCCACGCTTAACTGCCATTTAGTAGAAATCATTATCTTTTGCCCCCGTAAAGTCGAGGCGTGCCCCGCGGGGGTTTTATATGGGCAGCCAAAGTTTGACATGCCTACGCTTTGCCGTCATGAAGCCCCCATCTTCCTAAACTTGACCGTCTCAGAGTCAAGGTGGGACCCACGGGGTTTTCACATGGGCAGCCCAACTCGGGCACGCACAGGCTTAACCGCCATCTAGTCCACATCATTGCCTTTAGCCCCTGTAGAGTCGAGGCGTCCCACGGGGGTTTTATATGGGCAGTCAAAGTTTGACATGCCTACGCTTTGCCGTCATGGAGCCCCCCCTCCGTCTTCGTAAACTTGACCTTCGCAGAGCCAAGGTGGGACCCAGGGGGTTTTACATAAGAAGCCCAGCTCGGAAACGCCCACGCTTAACCGCCATTTAGTGGAAATCATTATCTTTTGCTCCCGTAGAGTGGAGGGGGGCCCCGCGGGGGTTTTATATGGGCAGCCAAAGTTTTACATGCCTACGCTTTGCCGCGATGGAGCCCTCATCTTTGTAAACTTGACCTTCGCAGAGTCAACGAGGGACCCACGGGTTTTTTTTTCACATGGGCAGCCCCAACTCGAGCACGCCCACGCTTAACCGCCATTTTAGTAGAAATCACTATCTTTTGCCCCCGTAGAGTCGGGGGGTCCCCGCGGGGGTTTTGTATGGAAAAGTTTGACATGCCTACGCTTTGCCGTCATGGAGCCCCCGTCTTCGTAACATTGACCTTCGCAGAGCCAGGGTAGAACCCACGGGATTTTACATGAGAAGCCCAGCTCGGAAACGCCCTCGCTTAACCGCCATTTAGTACACGTCATTGCCTTTGGGCCCCGTAGAGTCGAGGGGGGGTCCCGCGGGGTTTTTATATGGGCAGCCAAAGTTGGACGTGCCCATGCTTTCCCCCCCTAATGGTGTATTCGCACGAGAGATCTTTATCCCCGGAGAAAGCCGAGTACGTCATAGAGCTGAGAGAAGGAAACGGCACGAGAAGGAGGAGGAAGTGGAGAAAATCCAAGCCAGCATTCGCACGACGGAGTCGCATATAGTTGGGTCGCCGGAGTCTTTCTTTTCGCAAACCTGTTGGCGACTTTCGGGGGCTCATTGAACAAAAAGCAGGGAAAGAATAATAAAGAAAAGACACCCCACACTTCAAGCCTTCTGGCGACTTTCGGGGGCTCATCCAACAGAAAGGCAGGCAAAAAATAATAAAGAAAAGGCCCCCCACACTTCAAAGCTGTTCGTCATTACCCTTCCCCAAAAGCAGGGGGACAAAAGAGGGGGCCCGACCGCTCCGACGGATACCGACGGAACGGCGGAGATTCTGTAGGCCTGTCACAGATTCTCCTCGGGACCCCGCGACCACACCGCGAGCTCGGGGGATCAGCGAATATTCGTGACGCGGAGCACGTGACCTCAAAACTCGATGACGTTTATCCTTCTCCTCGGGAAGAAACTCCGTCGTGCGAATACACCCTAAAGCCCACATCTGCGCTAACTCTGCCCCCACATAGCCGAATCGGGATTCACGGCGGTATTGCACAAGCAGCCCAAATTGGGCACGCCCTCACGTAGGCGAGGTGGTACCCACGGGGGTATTGCATGAGCAGCCCAAGTTGGGCATGCCCACGCTGTGCCCAAATTCGCGCTCGCATATCTGAAGTAGCACCCACCACGCCACTGCGTGGGCATGCCCACGCTTCGCCAATGTTGGGCCAACGTACGCTTCGTAGGGGCTGCCCGAGCCCCCATTGCCCACGTGGGCCACACCTCTTGTGCTACGCGGGTTACTTAAGTATTTTTTTCAGGCATCTTCCGAGGAAAGCATTATGGGCAACAATATGAAGGGAACAGTTCATCCTTCCTTTCAGTTTCGCGGCTCCCACAGCCTTTGTTAAACTTAGTCTGTCAAACAGTATATAGTTTGGGATCTAAACTTCCCGCTCCCCCCCCCCCCCCCCCCCGTCCCCCTTCGGGCCTCCAACCATGCCTAACACGTGACCCAAGAGGGGGGAGAGAGGGGCTGACGAGCACGTGCACCATATCCTTAGGTGCTCGTTTTCCGCGGTCACAACCAGCGCCGGCGGCGATCTACGGGATTAATGCTTTCGCATTAAAATTTAAAAAAAACACTGTATTAGCAACACAGCATCATGCATCAAAAACTCCATTATGAAAGCTTGTGTTAAAAAGCATTGGTATACTTTACTTTGAAAGTGCATTGTACTTAAGTATACTTTGCTTCAAGTACATTGCACCCGGTGTAGTTTCTTTACTTGAAGTACATTGCCTCATTTACTTTATACTTCATTTTAAGTACTTTTTGATGTTGATTGACTGATTGACTGATCGATTGGTTGATTGATTTACTTATTTAGAGTTGATTGATTGATTGACCTATTGATATATCGATCGATTGATTGATTGACTTATTGACTAATTAATTGATTACTCGATTGGTTGATTAATTGGTTGATTGATTGTAGCTACAAGATACCAGAAGATGTTCCCTTCGCTGTTGCCGAAAACATTCAGCGAAAATGACTACAAAATCTTGGTTACGAGCAAGGCCCGCACGAGGGACACTGCGTCTGCTTTCATGTCCGAGCTCCTCAACAAACAAGGTGACGTGCAGTGCGTGTTCCTCACCTCATACGTACAATTCATGATTATGTACGTCAGAGGCAAACCTGTAAATCAACAAATCAGTCTAGATTACAGTAATTGTCAGTCAAAGCTGACGCTTGGACGAGTTGGTTCTGAATTTTTAAAGTAGGATGTTTTACGCCAGAGCGTCAATGATGGTGCGGCTCATATTTTTGTTTTATTTATTAAAAAACAGAAATATATGAGAAGTCCATCTTTTCGACCGGAGCATTCAGCTACATGTGAACGTTGTGCAGAATTTTCTTCCGGAGAGAAAATTTCGAAGCACGATGCCTGGAGAATGCCAAGGTTTCACTGCGGTTCATTGCACGGCCGTCAATGTCACATGGAAGCACACTCACGCAGGAAAAAGTTTTTCAACTTGTTTTACAAAAGGTTTATAACATGTACACAGAATATTAAAATTACAATAAAAAGTTACCAAGCAAAAAAAAAAATCTACAACACGTGAAGTGAACACGTTTTTGAGACTTATTCAAAACATATTTACCGACAAACTACTCAATATAAAGTGGTGCAAAATATATTAAAATGAGGGTCTTTAAATACAGTTTACGAATATATAAGAAAGAATATGCTTAGCCGTTATTGTGATTGTGTTATTAACGCAGAAACGCAGCTGATTTCTTAATTGTGGCAAAATTTTACGTTAATATTTAAAAAAAAACTTCATATTTTATTTATTTTAAACCCTTCTCAACCGTTTGCGTTGACTTCAACTAGCATGTGATGGCAGAACATTGAGTAGCGTATGACAAAACGATAACAAACCTCCACTCAAATTGTAAAAGCTTATATTCGTTATTAGGTCTTTGCGCCACGACGTCAGCTCCAAATAGACATTTTCTAGAACCGAAAAAAGCTGTACGTCGGGGCTGCTCAAATCGCATTTTGTGATTGTTGTGTTCTGATTTGTATAACTGCGTTGTGTTAGCAACATATGTACCAATCATCATCATCACCATATGATCTGTACTTCATTTTCTTTGTCGATAAAAGTCAGTCTGATTTGGAACGCTGACTGGGCTGGTCCTGTTCTTTTCTCTGCCGTGTCCCTGAGGATACCACAATTTTGGCGACGAGGATGGGATACGTGATCGTTGCAAGACGAGCAGCTGCCTGAACTTGCTGTGGCAGAGCAGAGGACACCGCCTGGACGGAAGGAGTGTATACCTCCGCGCCTCTCCCAGCTTCCCAGCAAATGTCGCAATTGGACACTAACGTGCCGCAGCCCTTAACACGATCACGTAAACCACCAAGCTGGTTACGGGATTATGTCAAATAACATGTGAAGCAATGAAGGTCACGCATCAGACACTGATACTTTGTTTCGCTTCGTGTAACTAAAAGAATGCTTCTTTTTTTTTAGGGGAAGGTAATTTCGTGTTCTGATTTGTATAACTGCGTTGTGTTAGCAACATATGTACAGATCATCATCATCACCATATGATCTGTACTTCATTTTCCTCTTTGTCGATAAAAGTCAGTCTGATTTGGAACGTTGACTGGGCTGGTCCTGTTCTTTTGCTCTGCCGTGTCCCTCAGGACACCACAGTGATGCTCATTTTCATGTATTTTGCGCCATTTTAGGTGCGGCTGTCTGTTGGTAAATGATTTTTGAATGTACCTCTAAAACGTGATTACTTTTCGTGCTTCGGAGCATTTTTTGCACAGAAATATTTATTGGAATTTTAATACTATGCGTACATGTTGTAAATCTGCCATTACATAAAGAGAAACAAATTATTACTACGTGCATGCTTCCGCGTGAAATTGACAGCTGTGCAAAGTACCATGAAACCTTGGCAATTCTACGCCTCGATATTCGAAAGTTTATAACAAAGAAAGAAAATTAGCTACAACGTTGGCTTTTATATATATATATATAAAAATTCATATATATTCTTACATTTTAAAAAAATATGAACGGGACCATCATTGCATGCTCTGACGTGGAAACCTCTATTTATAAGTTATGGTTTCGGTAACTAAATATTCCCTAAGCTGCTGCTAAGAATTATCTTGATAATTACGCAAATTCGCACTGCGTTACCCCCAGCAGCCACATATTTCAACTTGTTCATGCTCTGCGTGAACAGCGGTACAGTACCAAAAGAAGAACTCTGCCAATATTTTTTTCCGCGTTGGAAAAGGGAATCGTTAAGTAATCGCAGAACAGCTCGAAGCCATGGTATATTGTAAAAGTAACATGAACGCAACTTCGTTAAGTTGCGAGTTACTGTGACTTCTATTATAGATAAACTTGCAAAAATAACTATTTTTAACCAAATTATGCATTTCAGGTTCGGTAGCTGTAACTGTAACTTCAATATTTTTGGAGTAATTGTTATTGCTCTGCTCAAGTGCCAACTGACGTGCCCATTTCTTCTCTTCCTTTCTTTTCCAGAGTTTAAAAAAGTCGACTTCGCTGGCATTAACGACGAATTGCTTGACTTTCACAGTTTTTGCGAGGACCTGCTGAAGGTAGGAAGCCGGTGAATGCATGGGTGTCAGCACGCAGATTTTTAGACTTGGAGTTTTCTTGATCGAAAGCTCGAACTAGTTCAGAATTTATTGTTTACTTCCAGAAAAAGGGTGTGAGCAAACAAAAGGTTGAAGAAGAAGAAAGATTTTTTAATGGCTCTTACGTGAGGAATATGGTGACGTCCTTGTCCGAAAGGACTGGCGTTAATCTGGAGATCAGTGAGTGGCACCTTTTTTTTTTTTTTCATTTTAAAACTTAATTTTTTTTCACTTAATAATTTTGTAAAGATATATACATACAGTTGTAAATTAAAACTTGTGTTTGAGCGAGCTGGTTCATACTGATTTAAAAGGTTAAAAAGCGCAAACAAAACAAGGACTAGAAACACACAAAGACAACAGGACGGGCGCTAACTCACAACTGATTTTATTGGAAAAAGTACTGTCACTTTTATACACAAAATCGTCCTGTCGTCTTTGTGTGTGTCTCGACCTTGTTTTGTTTCCGCTTTTTAACCTTTTAAATAGTGGTAAAGTTCGCGTTTATAAATATGGCCTCTGAACGCCGCCATCTTTCTGCCGTGGATAGTCTCACAATCAGACCTCGCTAAGGCGTTCCCATGGTTGCCAGATTGGTGCCCCAACAAAGCGGTCCCCACTCATGGTGGCCAGACTAGTTTGTAACTCATGGCTGCTTGCTTTCAGACGTTTATGACAGGTTTGTTTGCCCACGTGATCTCTCGCTACCGCGCATGCGCAGGAACTCGTTATTAGAAAAACAATTCACTTGAACATAGAACTGAGCCTCAAGGTCCGCGACCAGCAGCACCCCCTTGGCGTGACGTCAAGAGCTTTCGTTCGCGCCAACATGTCTAGATTACCTCAGTTACGGACGGAACTGTCATAGACGCTGTTTCTGTGGGCGACAATCGACTGCTGTGGTAACTGCAGTCCAATTCTATGCAATACATATACGTCTTGAAGCCCATGCGTCTAGATAGCGCTTCAGCGTACTCTGTGAACATGGCCTCCGAGATTTTTCGTGCGCTGTGCTCCGGCCTTTCCAAACGGTCGTCTGCCCAGCAGAAAAAGCGAGCCGAGACAGTTCTCTAGTTCTCCGCAAGCGGCGCTTATAAACCAAACTAGAAACAAAATTGACCCAAAGCACGCTTTCAAGTGTGAGCCCACGGCATGAAGCTTGCATTTTCATTGTTCGCATGATCAGGTTCCTTAAACACAACCTTAAGTTTGCTACACCTGAAACAAAATTAACTGAATACAAAACGTTTATACGGCTAGATTTAGAATACGCTTTTGTTATATGGGATCCTTTTAGAAGTTACCAAATAGGCAATCTAGAAAGGGTGCAAAGAATGCCTGCTAGGTTTGTACTGTCGAAGTATCGAAGAACCAAATCAGTAAACGAAATGCTTAAAAAGCTAAGTCTTCCACTCCTTTCTTATCGCCGGAAATTAGCTCGTTTAACATGCCTATTTCTGTTGAGAACTCGAATGTTCAACCCTAATACAGGTAAATATATAACACCCCGTCTATCTAGGCCTCTAAGAAGTAGTCATTCATGTCCAATTGGTTTAGAGAAGCCAAATAATGATACGTATAAGTATTCTTTTTTTCTTTCAAGAACTATATCAAAGTGGTACAACCTCCCCGAAGAAATAGCATTAACTTATACCCTAGCTTCTTTCTAAACATGCATATCTAAAGTGTATAACCAGAATTAATGAACCTTGTCCTCTGGCAGTGCATGATTTTGATTAAATGTTTTTGATACTTGAACGCATTAGGACTTCCATGACTCCATTTATTATCTTCCGATGTGTTCTTGTCTTTTTTATTTGCCTTTGTTGTATGTTGTTTTTGAGCGCACACCAGCGTACGCTCTTGTAAATTTTAGCAGTGGGAAGATATTATACCTCGAAATGTTGGTTTTGTTGTGTATTCACCGTGATTTACCAAAATAGTGTACTCTTGTCTTTCGTAAGTTGTAGTGTTTAGAATGAGCCTTCATATGTATTACCTAGTGTTCTATTTTGTGTACTGTTGCACTCCTGTAACAGCCCCCACTGGCTAACAGTATGGAGTAAAGAAAAAAAAAAGTCAGGTAATTTCATCTCCTTTTATTTGCAATTTGCATTTCCTTGTCCGCTCTTTACGCCACTTCGCTGGATGATACCTCAGAATTCAAGATTAAGTGGGAATCTATATTTGTCATCTGAGGATACTCTGTGCGGGCCGGCGGGACGGGCATAAATATTATTTTTTTGTCGTCAAGCGTGAAAACAGCTCTCTGAACTTCGCATACGTGGATGAGCATTTATTCTACACCTTTCGTGCTTTGAAAAGAGGAACCTTCAAATTTCGATCGACTTCTTTCTTGACAAAGGTCCGTGTGTTGCGGAGAAAGGCGGGGAGCACATTTTGCGCTGCTATGGTGGGCTCGGAGGGGGAGGTGTGATGATCGCGCTTGCGAAAGTGACTCAATGATTCACCATGCGGAGCTATGGCGGGTTTCAACGGGGCGGAGAGTCATCGATAACCATCAACAAGTAGATAGCAGCGCCACCCTAAACCCTGCACTTTCAGGAAACCGCAGAAAGGTGATTTGCCTTTCTGCGGTGCCGTGGCTCTCCTGAGCTGTAATAAATATATCATATCACATATCATACACGAAATAGAAGGTAAAAGAAGAAGTGTACATAGAAGGGTTTCAGTAGTGCCACTATATAAGCTCTTCTTATATAGTGACTCTAGGCTTCACAAACTCACCATAGCTTCACTACAACGTCGAGCTCAATGTGCCGTGCACAATTTCGTTATAGCTAACAAGCAGCGACAAAAACACTGTTGCGTCCCGGGCTGCAAGACATGGGTATGTATCCTCAAGATCTGCAGGCAGAAAGGCGACGTTGCTTGGTGCTCCAAAAGAACTCGGAAGATTCCGAACTTGGGAGTGGACTATACTTGGCGCCGACGAATGCTTAGAAACAAGGTCAGCCGTAAGCGAGCTGGATGTTGAGGAAAGATTCATTATGCGGCACTTCACAATTGTGCTCAACGGTGAAGACATTGTTTTCTTCTATAGTGGTCGCAGTACGGCGGGGTGCCGTTGTGGCGCTGCAGCGGACATATCGATGCTAACGCTGCGTGCTGAACAGCCTTGCCATTTTCTCCCGCAGACGAAGCGAGCGATTGTCACACCTCCCTTTCTAGCCCACCATAACCCTGCTCCTAAGTTCTAAGACCGACGATGATGGTGATGATGATAATTCGAGGCGATTTCTTCGCACTCTTTTATTTAATGCGAGCGCCACCGAGCGCCCCGCTGCAACAGTCTCTACCGGCGAATGCAATGGCCTGAAGAGAGCAGCCAGCGCACGAAAAGTCTCGGAGGCCATGCTATAAAGCAAGGGCGCTTCAAACGACGGGAGGCTAAGTACTGTATACCTCTCGGGAGTTCGGACTGAAGGAGGGGGGCCAAGAAGCTCTTTTTTCACGGGAGTTCTACAACTGAGTGCTCCAGTGGCGTTGGTTGGTGGATAGATGGACGGGGAACGCGACAGAACAGCACACGACAAAACAGCACGCGACAAAACAGCACGGTCAAAACAGCACGCGTCAAAACAGCACAGCGTCAAAACAGCACGGCGACAAAACATCAGGCGACAAAATAGCACGCGACAAAACAGCACAGCGTCAAAACGCCACAGCGACAGAAAAGCACGTGCCAAAACAGCACGGCGTCAAAACAGCACAGCGACAAAACAGCACGCATGTAGCAACTTCGAGCGCGCTCTTCGCCTCTCTCTGCGCGAATATTTTCGAACCTCCTTAACCTTTTCATTTATTGTCGCTAGATTATAAAGGAATTTATTGCCTATTTCATTGCTAAGTCAGTGTCTGGACTGGTGCTGCTGTGTTATTGCTAAAAACAAACGAAGCTAGCAGTAGTTACTACTACTTAACTACGCTGATCTCTTAAGAGATTGGGCAGTTAGAGGTGATATCTTCGCGTCGATGTTAAGCGAGTTGTCTGGTCTTTTTTTTTTTTTTTTGTCTTTTTTTGAGAACCAATGGAAGACGAAAAATTATTGTGAAAAAAAAATCCATACGTTCAAGTTATGAACCGTCTGGTTTGCGGCGGTCCGGTGAGGTTCCGTAGTACTCGTTGTTTCGTAACTACCACGTACGCAAAAAACGTCCCCCCCCCCCCCCCCCCACAAAAAAAAAGCGGGAGATGCATTGATTACAGATGCATTGATAAAACCGGGAAGTAAGGTAACTTTAATGTCGAGGGAATTCAAGGTGTACCATGGGCAACGATTCTGCGGGGTTCATTCGCCGTGAATAAAATGTCCCGGAAACACGCCGCTGCTGCTTGCAGGCGAGAAGTTGTTTTGAGTTAAATTCACAGATTATTGCCGACAAAGGGGCTTCAATCGAGTGGAAACCGGTGAAGCAGAAACAAGCCACAGCCTCAATGCTGTTGCCGTACAGCATGGATAAGCACACCGTTGCCGCACACACTGTGTTTTTTTGTTGTTTTTTTTAACAGCTAACAACAGCACGTTGCCGTGCGATTGATTCATTTATTGTAGACGGCATCACCAGCAAACTTGAGCGTCAATATTAGCAGAACTGCTTGAGAAATAGCCAGAATACGCAGCAGCGGGGGCTTCGGTACTGCCCAGGGAGCCTTCATGCGCATCGAGTATACCCCCCACTCCCAACTTGCTCCCATGAGAGCGGATTCGACAAATTGGCCGTCGACAAGATGACCTTCGAGGAATTGGCCTAGACCCTCCATTCCTTTCCAGTGGCTACTTTGAGACATGCATTTTTTAACTCCATCGCTATATTTAGGGTTCAGCGTTTTCGGCTTAAACCAATAAAATCGGTAAACGTACGGCGAAATCTTTTTTAAAAATTCGGTTTTAACTGAAAAAGGTCAGTATTTTCGAGGGCGTTTGGAGGGGTGAGTGGGGGAATGTGCTTCATTACTGACCGTATCACCACTTCCTTGCGCAGTTTTTAGCCTGTCTCCGAGATCGGTTCAACCCTCAACAAAAGTTGGACCGACGCAATGGTCTTTAGGACGAAATATGGGTTTTTCACCTGATAAGGATTTGTGTGTCGAATTCTTTGTTCAAAGAAGAGAGTTTAATCATGAACTGAACAATAAAATTAAAGGGCATCCGTAAATGGCGCACATCTTTTAACACCCCTAGCTTCCGTCTACTAGAGGAGGGCATAAATATGATTGATATATTGTCGTTTCTTGGACTGCGCGAATGATCCACCTCTCGCAGTCGTGAAAATGGGGGAAAGACGCACTGAGTACAATGCTTGCAAATTTTTTGGATTTTGATATTTGCCTCTCCGACCGAAGTGGAAGTAAAGCTCATGTTCGTCCTGTGTACAAATACGAGCCCACGACGATAATGTCAGATCACGATAGGGCGCCAGTGCGTCTTGCAGAACAGGTTGCGTCGGCAGCCACAGACAGCAACAAATAAGAAATTCAGTACCTGGTTTACTCACTATTCATTTTAAACAAACGCCTTTAAATATTGCATTTCCTCAGTATACTGGTTTTCGTCAATAAACCGAAAAGAACTGAAAAGTTTATGAGTCTACAAATATACTCAGCAATAAACCGAAAACTCCTGCTTGAAATAAAAACCGAACAATGTACGCCGAATTTCAAAATAGTTAAACCGAAAACGCCAAACCCTAGCTTTATTGTCAATGTCCCGTTTTGACGCAGTGCTGTTCTGACGCTGTGCTGTTTTGACGCTGTGCTGTTTTGACACTGTGCTGTTTTGACGCCGTGCTGTTTTGACGCCGTGCTGTTTTGGCACCTGCTCTTCTGTCGCTGTGCCGTTTTGACGCTGTGCTGTTTTATCGCGTGCTATTTTGACGCGTGCTGTTTTGTCGTCATGCTGTTTTGACGCTGTGCTGTTTTGACGCGTGCTGTTTTGACCGTGCTGTTTTGTCGCGTGCTGTTTTGTCGTGTGCTGTTCTGTCATGGTGCCAGATGGACGCACGTCATGGGTACTGGTGGATGCAATAGACCGTTTTCGAAACCCCATTAACCAACTTTGGCGGCTGTCATTCCTTGAACACGAAGCGGTTGATAGGGTCCCTGAACGTTGAAGCAGCCGTCGTGGTCAGTACATGCTCGGAGTGCGCGCCCCCGAAAATGGCAGACTCGAATATATGGCACAGCAGTTGCCAGAGGGCGCGCAGTTTTGAAAATGGATACTCTATGCCATTGTTGTATCTACCAGACATTAAATGGCGGCAACGTTCCTGGAAAGTGAACGCAGGGCCATTTTATCAGGAGTGAAAAGGAGGCGTGTAGCGCTACGAGGCTGGCCGCGGAGGGTCTAAACGAGAAACCTGCTGATTCACGCCGCAGAGGACATCGAGTTGATGGCGAAGCTGTGCGCCTTCGAGGTGGCCCTCAAGGGCAGCTCGCCCTTCTGTAACCTGTTCCGGAAGGAAGACCTCCAGCTCTTGGAGTACGCCGGTGACCTGGACGACTACTACAAGGACGGCTACGGCCACGAGAGGAACTCAGCGCAGGCATGCGGCGTCATCGGAGAATTCGTCAGCAGGATCGAGTAAGGAAAGAAGTTAGCCACTGCATGGTTTTCTTGTATGAGTTGAATTCTGCTTGGTCCTAAGCAAGCTTGTGCACAGGGCGGATCGATAGGTTAGGCTGGGGGAGGGGGGGGTGGGGGGGGGGGGAGGTGGGATGGGATGGATGTGCAAAAAGATAAAACGTAATGGGCATATCTAACATCACGTACGGACGTAACGTCACAGACGAAGATAAGTTAATTTCCGTAATATGTTTTTTCTAAAGAATGTGTGTACGCCCTATTATCATAACACAATTAATTAATTTTTTTGGGGGGGAGCGGTCGCCCCCTTCGGCCTTCCCTTTCTAAAACTTAAATCCGCCATTGCTTGCACAGGACGCAGTAACCGAATATTCCTCTGCGAGTAGCTTCCTCGTTATTTTGTGGTTTTTATACGTTACAGTAATCAAATGGGTAACTTGATTTTTTTTTAATTAGGCTGCTCGTTTTGTGGCCATCTAGCTTGTTTACGTGTACTATAGTATGAACGTACTTTTACAGTACGTTCATGTAAAAAATAAAAACAAGTCACGCGTAGTTTATGAGATATCCGACCCTTCGAAGTAATCAAAAAGGTTCCAGTTACTATTTTTAAGAAGTCGTTGAGATAGATGATTTCAGGTAATTCCTTAATCAAAAAGAACGCTTTACTGACACTGATAGTTACTGGATTCTGTTTTCCTTGAAACGTATACAGCGGGAACTAAAACAAGAACAGCCTCGGGGCATCGGTGCCCGAGTGGACTGGAGCACACTATGAGCCACTAAATGAGCTGCGCTTAGAGTATCGGCACTCCGTTCCCCGACATTGCTGTGGGCGCCGCCATTTTTGGTGCTTGTGCAGAGCAGACGCAACTTCAGATCGTCATGATCCAGAGTGCGACTTCCTCAGCATTAGATTCGGTGTTACGATGCTCGGGTAATATTGCTTTGCTTTGTCGCGAACTGTTTAAACATTTGTGGAAGACGGAAAAGCGTTTCCTGTGATTTCAGATAAAGCTTCAGATAACTGGCAACCATGATTTGAAGCCACAATATGGCCAAGTGTCGTTACTCTGTAGCGTAGCTTATTTAGTGGCACTAGCGCACACCAGCTCGGAGCACGTGGAGCGAAAGCTCGCGCTCCAGAACCTAGGGATCCTAGGTCCAATCCCCACCCCTGCCCGTTTCAATCTGGATGAACATTGTATACCGGCGTGCGGTCGTGTCTACTGCATGATGCACGTTAAAAACCCCAAGCTAGCGGTTGTACCTCACTGGCCAAATAGCTCATCTACAGCTGAGTCGCCTGTTGAGGCAGAATATAAGTTCAGTATGTATAAACATACACACACCAAGTTTGTGTTTTCAACAGCCTCCTACTGTCGACCGCTGTTCCATTTTCCCGGTGAAGCTGAAAATTTTTTACGACATTTCGGTTTCCAGTCTCAGGCACTCCCAGCAGAAGGTTCCTTCATGAGTTCCTACCATCGTGAATTCTTCCGAACCTTAGTTTTTCTCCGCTAAATTTAGCGGGGAAACTGAATTGTTTTGGGATCACGTAAAATCAAGTCATAAGGCTTCTTTTTTTTCCGCTAAATTTAGCGGGAAAACCGCATTGGTGTTGAAGTCACGTGACGTAAATTTTCCCGCTAAATTTGGATATGTGTATTGGTCACGTGGCATCCACCAATGTGACGTCGCTTTCCCCGTTAAATTTATCGGGCAAAATAAACGGCAAGAAGCATGCCTAAAGTGGCCTGAAGATCCTAAAAAAGCTTTAAAATCATTTATGCAGTGGCACTGTGATTGGAGAAACGTCGTGCTCTCGTGGCACACAGCGAATACAGCGGTTCGCCCTCCCATATGGTTTACGGGAAAGTAGACGCTGCAGGTTTTATTAAGGCCGTTTCGCATTTTCGCTTTTCGCTCGCGACCGACTTCTTGCGATTAGTTACAACCAGGAACGTATTGGCACGCTGGCGCCATCTATGAGACGATCCTGGAACTGCATTTCACTAGAGCGAAGGCTTTTGCGTTATTCGCGAGATCCAGTGTACGCATTATCAATGACAAATGAGTGCGTATAATAATATTTCTAAACGTTTTTTTATGCCAAAAAATAAACAAGCGATGCGCGAAAAAGCGCTCAAAACGTACGAATCTTACAAGTATTCCGACAGGTGGCGCCAGTGCGTTATTTTGTCGTAAGCGATTACTAGGGGTTTTAACGCACCCTGTCTTAGGCAGTCGCAAGTGTGTGGGCCGTGCCTTTAAAGTGCATCGTACCGAAAACGAACAGGGAACGTGTCGGCACGACGACCTGTGACGACTCTCGAAGGCGGCGCCGCGAACTCAAGGCGTCGCTCTACTTCTCTCATGCGGGAGCCATCAAGAAGCTAATGACCCGCCTGGGAATCCACAAGGACAAGGAACCGCTTACGGCCGACGCCTACTGCGACGCCAGGAAGACGCGCGAGTGGAGGTCTTCCTTCTACGCACCGTTCACCGCCAACCTAGGTAACAATGAAGGCGTTTTAATAATAATAGTTTACCACTTTACCTGAATACCGTTATTAGAGAGTTTTAGAGAACCGTTTTTGCACATACCATGCGGTACAATGGGACCTCCGGTATGCAGAGTGGATGTGCGAGTCTTCTGAGGTTTCCTTCTCTCAATTCCCTCTTGCACTCTTCTCTCCTCCTGTCCTCACATCAGCGGGAGCAACTTGGAGCAGCCTGGAGCAACCGAGCAACCAATAATACCTCCTAGATAGCAAAGCCGTAGTGCTGATAAAGATGTCATCAGCAAAGGCCAGCGCTGTTCGCAGATTGGACCCGACGATTGCCTCAACGTTCGGCCCAAACTTGACTTGAAGCCGAGCGCTGACTCAGCACTCGTTTCCAATCTGTGTGCAGCGTTGGCGTTCACTGGTGACGCAGATGCGTCAGCACTACGACCTTGTCTTCTAGGCGGCGAAGAGCAACTTCTCGCAGAAAGGAGGAGGGTCTCTCTATCAAGTAAAGGGAATGATTGGGGGAGAGTTTCCTCCCTTCTGGCTGCTCGTCGGCTTTTAATAAATAAAAGAACGCGAAATGAATTGCATAGCTTTCACAGATTCATCAGTCCTGTGAAGCTAGTTAAACTTGATTGGAAATGCAAAGCTTGTTACCCTTGACAAGATAGTGAAGCGAAATTCCAGCGCGATGATTCGCTGAAGGAGCCTAGCTGTGATTTGGGCTAGCGGGCTTACGGAATAGAAGCAAAATTATCATTCATAATGCTAGAGACTTACAGTTAACAAAAAAAAAATAATCAAAGTGAAATCGAGCTGGTTGAAGCTTACCGTGACGTTTAGTACCGCCAGAGCAAGAGAACAGAAAACAGTATAATTGGAAGGTACAATGTCGATTTTGTTTTCTTCCTTCCACTTTGAATGTTTCAGTTCTTCTTTATTCCAATCTATAACCGCAGTTACGCCGCGCATACATCACACAAAATACGTGGTGTTCGCTGCAAACATAACAAGGACATTTAGCAAACCGTTACCGAGTTCCGCGTACCGCAGTACCGGAGCCTTTGAGGCATGCTTTTAAGCGCGAGCCCGAGTGATGTACCCTGACTGCGTGGCGCGTACATAAAAGCACGCTCAAAAGGCTCCGGCAGTGCGGTACGCGGAACACGGTAAGGGTTTGCTGAAAGACCCCAATGACATAATTATTTATGAACAAGCCTCAATAATGTTTGAGGCATCTATGCTTCAAGCATCTATGCTTCAAATGTATCTACAGACAGCTTTTGACATGGTCAATGTAACACGACACTTATACAAGGAAGAACCAGGCCTCAGAGTGTCTGCAGGCTGCGTTTCGTATGATGTAGTGGCAGTACGACCGCAGCATTAGGTTACCATTGTACATCGTGGCATGCGTTCTCGATGGCTTGTTCTTCTCGTCGTGGTTGTTGTCTGCTAGACTCGCCAAAGTGACGTCAAGGCTTTCTTCTTCTTCCGCTAGGCATCGTCTTGTTCAGATGCGAAGGAAGTCCCCCTTACAAGGTCGTCGCCTTACTCAACGAGAAAGTGGTCAGGATCGACGGATGTCCGGACGACGTCTGCCCTCTTACGGACTTTTTGAAGACGTCCGGTGTGGTCAGGTCCAGCTGCTGTGACCTCGAGAAGATCTGCGACCCCAACTGGGACCCATCAAGCAATGTCGACTCCGGTGCTGAATAGTTGATAACGGCTGTCACAAAATAGAGAGCGACGCTTGAAACAAAAGCATCGTGCCAGAAAAGCGTCTGCAATTAATGTCTTTGCTGCGTCCTCATTTTTGTTGGGGGGGGGGGGGGGGGGGGGGGAGGGTTCTCAGTTTTTTATTGATTACGTCACAGTTGCGGCATGCCGTAAAGAAACAAATGCTACTCTATTGTAGCTGTTGCTTTCCGCGATCATGGCGGTGGCACAATGTTCGCTCGTCTTTTTTGCCAGTACTTTTACAACCAACCGCCACTATCGCGAGATTTAACAGCATGACCCACCAGCTTCTGTGATATTTTGTAGCCACGCTGGGACCATTTTTTATCATAGGTGGTTAAAGACGCCAGTTAAAGACGCGATCAAGATACCATGCCAGAAGCAAGCAGGACGGAACAAGGCGTCCAGGTGAGCTGACTGCTAGCCAACGTTTGCTGGAACACTGCCACGGACCCTCCCTTACAAAAATCTGTAGTTAAATTCTTTTGAATTTTTGTTGAAAATTTTCTGGAGTCGTATTGAATTTCTTTTTAAACTTTTTTGATGTTTTTTAGGCTTTGTTTTGACAACTTATTTAACTCCTAGTTAAAATTGGCCACTTAATTTTTTTAGAATTCCTTCTTACATAAATTCTTTTGAATTCCTTCTTACATAAATTCTTTTGAATTCCTTCTTACATAAATTTTGTTGAATTCCTTTTGGCAAAACCGCAAATTCACGTTTAAAAAAAACACTAAATTTTTTAATATATTTTTTTTAATTTCGTTAGGAAATGTGTCTTTTTAATACATACACATCCCACATATAAGCTATGTAAACAAACACAAACACCATCAAGCACTTAACACCAGAAACACAGTCCTGTTGACAGCACCAGAGCCTTATATAGCCTACATATCGAAGGTAATCATTTGGCCGGTGACCACCTGAGCACTTACTAAGTTTCCAAGTCTCCGGTCTCTTTCTCGAAAGTCTGTCAAAGGAAAGACGGTGTGTCGAAGTTCGTGGACTCTATCTCTTACTAAAAGCATTGGTACAACTAATAATAATTTCGTGTAGTCGCTAAAACAATATCCACAAAAACGACTCATAGAACAAATGTTATCGCTTCTCTGCATAGCACCACTCGGGACGAAGCCAGTCAAGGCGGTTGCTCCACTTTAAAATAGTTATTTTGCTCTTCTTTACTAGTTGAATAGGGTCAATAATGCAACGATAGTCATTTACAAAGTGAGAACGGCAGGGCGTGTTTTTCGAACGCCTGGCCTCCAGCACGCGCCCCATGCCTTCCGTCGTGCTTTGACTGCGCAGTCGAACTCGAGGGGCGAGAGACGTCGAAGAGTTGTCAAGGATAGAAGGCTCGCGCTGGAGGCAGAAGAACGGAAGCTCCTCCCTACGGTTCTCAACTTGTCAGAGACTATTGAGAAACTTAGTGACTTTTGACATTTAGTCAAGATGTATTATGTTCAATAAAAAGTCAACAGAAAGTCTGTAGCTTTTCTTTTGACACTGGCTACAGAAAGTCAACTGAATAATTTAAACACCATGTAAATAGAACGTCTGCAGTATTTCTGATAACACTTTCAACAGGAAGTGAACAGAAAAGGATACAACGTAGAGTTAATAGAAAGTCAATAGCTTTTCTTTTGACTCAGGCAGAAGAAAATCATAAAAAACGTTCAACACAAAATCAACAAACTTTTTGTTGACCATGTCAACAGGAAGTCAGTCAAAATAAAGTAATCAAAGTGAACAAGAAGTCAACATATTTTCAATAAAAAGTAAAAAAAAACAAAAAAAACATCCGTCATATCGGACCCCGCACACAACCGCAGACCAAATAAAATAATAAAAATGTTTCTTTTTATAAAATATTATAAAGAAATAATGTCAATAGGTTTTCTTTTTATTTTTAGAAAATAACCTACAAAAAAAGTTGTTACAACTTCTTTTTATTTTTTTTATAAATAAGTCTACAAAACCAAATTATTGTTTTTCCTTTTGAATTTTTTTTTAGAAAATAATCTACAGAAAAACGTCTTTACAAGTTCTTTTTAATTTTTTTATAAATAAGTCTACAAAACAAAATCTATTGTTTTTCCTTTTGAATTTTTTTAGAAAATATCCTATAGAAAAACGTCTTTACAAGTTCTTTTTAATTTTTTTATAAATAAGTCTACAAAACAAAATCTATGGTTTTTCCTTTTGAATTTTTTTAGAAAATATCCTATAGAAAAACGTCTTTACAAGTTCTTTTTAATTTTTTTATAAATAAGTCTACAAAAAATTCAATATTTTTTCTTTTGAAAGTTTTTTGACAATAGTCAAAACAAAGTGCGTTTATAAAGGAATTCAGTAGGATCGCGGAAAGTCAATAAGAAGTCTAAAAAAAGTAAAAAGAATGTTGAGACCCGTTTTTGTAAGGGCTAACACCGTAGCGTCACACCAAGATATAAAACACGATTGGCTAAAGACAATGATGAGGCAGACTCTATGACCAATAAGCGTCGGGTCATTTAGGCCTTTAGTTAATTCTAATTTAGAGTTTATTGGACTGACTCATAACGTCATGGCATTGCGCTCGAAGCACCCTTTTAGAAGACGGTGGTTTATTTATTTATTTATTCTGTTTAATCTGCCCACAAGCAGCTCGAGGCCTTATTAATGCACACATATTACAAACAATAAAAGAACAGATACAGACAAACAAACAGGTAAGACGCGATTTAGAAAATATAAAACAAAATAAATAAAACTGCGGAGAACAACAGAGTACAGATGTTTGTAAAGGGGCCGACAATGCTCTTGTAAAATTTAAGAGGGGTGAAAACATTTCTAAATCACTTCTATCGCGATTATAAAGGAGCTGAAGGCTTGTCATCGGGGATTGGTCACCAACTTTCTGTGGGTAGAAAAGAAATGAAAATCTGATGCGCTTTTGAGGAACACTAAGAAATCGCACTTAAAGCAAAGGTGCATCAACTGTAGCGTTCGCTGTTTTATACAAAAGAAGTCATATCTCGCGTTAAACTTCTTTTGTGAAACGGTACCAGGCCAAACAGATTAAGTAAATATTCATAATCAAAGTAAATGCGCTTCCCAACCTATCTATCGTAAACAATACGCACGAGACGACGCTGCGCTATTTCTAAAATGCATGATCGAGTCGATCCAATGATGTTCCACACGACTCAGCAGTTCAGACAAAACAAGGGCGCGAATTAGATGAATCATGCTAGCGTAAGTACGAAAATTCCGCGTCATTCGGAAAATGACGCCTAGCACCTGATAAGAATCAATCAACCCTCGAAACATGCTCAGTTACCGAAAGGCCGGAATCAAACAGCACTTCCAGGTAACGAATAGTATCTGACCTCGCGATAGCTGAATCTAACATAGTATACGAGTACTCAAGTGCTCAATGGAGCTTGTCTTACGGGTAAAGGAAACCACCTTGGTCTTACTGGGGTTAAGTACAAAATTATTTTTCAAGCACTAGTTTAGAACTGCCTGAACATGGTCTTGCGTTAAAAGGCAGTCAATAGGTGAAGGAATTTCGCGAAAAATCTTAACATCATCTGCAAACTGCAGCACCCTTGAATGCTGCACAATGTCTACCAAATCATTGAGAAAAATGTTGAATAATAACGGCCCTAGATTGGACCCTTGAGGCACTCCAGTATTTGAAACATATGAGGCAGAAAAACACCCCTCATGCAGCACTCTTTTAGGTCTTCCGCCAAGATAACTAGACAACCAACTGCAAAACAAGCTAGTCATGCCCAAAGCTGAAAATTGGGCAAGTAACAACTTATAGTTCATGATATCAAAAGCTTTAAAGCAATCGAAACAAATAGCATAAACTTGTCCACGGGACGTGGCCTTAGCTAGAGTGTGTTCCAAATGTGAAACAAGTTTGTTTTCCCTGAATGCCCTTGACAAAAATAATGCTGGTTAAGGCAAAGCGACGATTTAAAATGAAAATAAATATGCTTATACATTGCCTTTTTAAGTACCTTAGAAAAAGAACAAAGAGAAATTGGTCTACTATTATTAACGCAGTCAGTGCGACCAGAGTTATGTGTAGGTACAACGGCTTCATTCTTCCATCCTTGAAGAAATACATTGGCCTCTAAGGACATGTTGAAAACATGTGGAAACACAGGGGAAAAATATCCCTGAATTCCTTTTCAATGAAAGTAGGAATTTCGTCCTCACCAGATGACTTTTTTGGAACCCGCTCATTTACTGCGTAAAACACATCTTCAAGCGCAAGATTCGGAACTGCGAAGCTGCCGGTAGATTCAAGAGGAGCGTCGGTCATAACAGTGAACGGAGTAATCATGTTACAGACGGAGGAAAAGAACGTAGCAAAAAGATTACAGACATCGGACGGCTCAGATCCAGAGTCGGCTTGCAATGCAATAGTTTTCGATCAGCTAGATGTCTTCATATACCTCGCGTAATTCCACAGAGCATTAGGATTGCGTTTAGATTGAGTTCAACTGAATTTCGCCAGTTCTTCCGATCATGCCGTAACAACTTTTTGGCCTCTGAACGATACTCTTTAAACCGACACTGCCATTTTTTTTTTGTGCCAGTGTTCTTGTACTTTTTATTATACCTCGCTTTTTTACGCAACGCATCACGTAGCTTTTTGAAAAAACAAAAATGATGGTTGCTAGTGCGACTACTTCTTCGTGGAATGAAATTATTTATGGCTGCAGCTAGGATGTCTGTTAAACTTTTAACTATGCTATCGATATTGGGAAAGAGTGAAATAACGCTCCAGTCTACGTTGCGAATGAGACTGTAAAGACCAACGTAATCCCTACTAGCGTAGTTGTAAACGAGAGACTAATTACTCGACGGCGTCCGAGCAGGAAGTACGAAAAAAAGGGTCAATGGTAGATTTCATTTATTGATAGAGACAAGAGGACAGTCAGCAGCCTCGGAAGTGATTGCTGATATGTTAGTTA